CCCCCCCCCCTGTTCACAAACCCTGACTCTGGGAACCCCTCTATTTAATAACCCTTACTCTCTGAAACCCTCGTCAACCCCCCCAGTATTCAATAATGCTGACTCTCTGAGACCCCATATTCACTAACTGTGAGACCCTAGACCCTAAACACCAGTGCCAGTGCACAGAAGCATGAAAGCCTCAGCCTAGCAATCCCAGCTTGTAAGAGAACAACTGTTGGACTTCTCAGAGACCCTTTCGAAAACTGGCAGGCAGGGAGGTTTTTCCATGTCCCTAAGTGTTTTTTTTTTTTTTTTCATTTTTTCAGGACCCATGATAAAGTTTTTTTTTTCCCTCCATGAAAGTCAGGGTTACGGCTTTTATGCAGTGCGTCCTTTGGGGTGGGGGGTGAGGTGGGAAGGCTTGGGGGTGGGTAGGAGGGGAGGGGGGGATGGGGTAGGCAGGTGTAATTGTGTAGGTCAAATTCTCAAAGGTCCCCCCTTTGGCAAGCAAGGGGTAACTAACACCTGCCGAAGATATCCACTGGCTAGGATATGGGTATTCTTTTCGCAGCTGCCTCATTCTGTTTGCAACACGAAGTAATTTTTTTACGTCTTTTGTAATTTATATTTATATCACTTGATTTATTTATGTTTTCTGAAGCAACTTTTTCTTTGGCTGTGTCACATGCTTTTTCATTGTCTGGGATGACTGTCTGGTGATCCATAAGTGAACCGTTGAGAAAGGGTTCTCTTTGGAACTTGGGGGATGTCTTGGACATTTTGGGACTTTTGGGACCTTTGGGACCTTTGGGGTTTTGAAGGTTTGTGTTATGTGGATCTTTGTGGTGGGAGTTTGATGACCTTCCAGACCCCCCTCTTTGAGACCTTGTTCTGAAGTTTTCTGTTATGTGGATCTTTGTGATGGGGGATGTCTTGGACATTTTGGGACCTTTTGGAAGTTTGGGACCTTTGGGACCTTTGGGGTTTTGAAGTTTCACTGTTATGTGTATCTTTGTGATGGGAGTGGGGTGACCTTCCAGACACCTTGGAGACCTTGTTTGCCCTGTGGCCTTTTGGGACCTTTGGAATTCCTCTTTGTTAAAGTTCTTTGTAAACTCTTGGGCCCATTTGGGACATTCTGGGACACTTAAGACCTTTGGGATTCCTCTTTGTTGAAATTCTTTGTGAACTCCTTTGGGGCCCCTTTGGGACATTCTAGGGCCTCTGGGATCATGGGATTTGTAAGAATCTGGTGATCCTTGGAGACCCTTAGGCTGTTTGGAACCCTTGGGAAGAGTGAAGTCACACATAACTTCCATCATCTGCACCTGGTCAACATCTGGGCTTTTTGCAGTCTCCTCAACATATTTGCGTTTGGGCTCATTGTGGGTCTGGGGGTTTGGGTGGGGGGAGGATGTGGAAGGAAGGTCTCTCAATTGTCTTTGGCCTGTTTTGATGGGCTTCAGTTTTGCCCTATTCGATGAGAATGGCCTGCAGGTGGATCGAGCAACAGTCAGCGAGGTTGAACGCACTTTTGAGCTGGTGTTGGAAGAGGTTTGTCCACATGACTCTCTCTCTCTCTCTCTCTCTCTCTCTCTCTCTCTCTCTCTCTCTCTCTCTCTCTCTCTCTCTCTCTCTCTCTCTCTCTCT